TGGGAGGTAAATGGGGGCTATAGGGGGTGTGGAGGGGCTGCGGGGGGGTTGTGGGGTTCTGAGGGGCATAAAATGGGGTTTATGGGGTTCTAGTGGGGATAAAGTGGCATTTGTGGGGTTGTAAGCAGCATAAAGTGAGGCTATTGGGTGCAGGAGATAATGGCATGCTGAGGAGTATTAAATAGGATTATTGGGGCCTGAATGGGAGTTTTTGGGGGTGGCCAGAGAGGGGCTGTGGGGTTACTGGAGGGCTAAATGGCGTTCTAGGGTATGCGATGGGGGGGGCAGAAAATGGGGATTACGGGGGTCGTGGGGGTATAATGGGGGTTGTGGGGGTGCTGGAAGGGCCTGGGGGTCTCAGTGGTGTTATGGGGTGTCTGCCCCCTCCCCCCCAACTCTGTCACCCCACAGGGACCAGCAGCCAGCTGGGGGCAGGGGGGGGCCGGGCCACCCCCCCGCTGGTGTCCCTTTACCCCGCATTGGAGTGCCGTGCCATCATGCAGCAGATGTCCCCCACCGCCTTTGGTGAGGAGGGGGGTCTTTGGGGGGGGGTCTTTAGGGTCTTTTTGGGAGGGGGGTTCTTTCATTTTAAGCTTTTTTAGTAGCGGGGGAGGTGTGCTTTATGTGTGGTTTTCGGTCTTGCAACGGTTCTTTTGGGTGAAAATGAAGCTGTGATGTTTGTGGGGGGGTTATTTTGGGGGGGAGGGAAGGGGGGTTCAAAGCATTTCCCCCACTGCAACCTTGCTTTTGTTGAAATCGTTTTTCTGGGGTCATTTTTAGGGGACATTTTGGTGCTATTTGGTATTTATTGGAGAGGGAGAAAAAGAATTCTTTGGAGTTCAGTTTGCTGAACGGGAGGCTTGGGGGGGGGGGGGTCAGGGGGTCCGTACCACTGTCCCATGCCCCCTCCCCCCAGTTCCCCATGGTGCCATGCTGAAGGCAATGCTTTGCTATGGGGTTCTCCCCCCCTTTAATTTTTACAGCAGCTCTTTGAATTTTTACAATTCTCCCCCCTTCCACCCCTCCCTCACCTCCCCCCCATTCCATTCATTTTCCCCCCCCCCCCCCCCCCCCCCCCCCAGGCCTCAACGACTGGGAGGACGACGAGATCCTGGCGTCGGTGCTGGCCGTCTCGCAGCAGGAGTACCTGGAGACCATGAAGACCTCCCGCCACAGAGACCCCAACCCCGACAAAAGTTGATATTGAACCCCTGGACTGCAAACCCCCAGACCCCCCTCCCCCACTTGCCTGCCGCCCCCCCCCTCCCCCTCTCCTCCTCCCCCCCCACAAAAAAATCCCCACAGCTCCACATCAAAGCCCACCCAGGGACCTCGAGGCATGCACGGCCGGGGGGGGCCCCCCCTCCCCAGTGCAGGAGTGGGAGGGGGACACAGCGCTGGACGCCGCCAGACGAACCTCGGCTTTATTATGAATTTTTTTTGGGGGGAGGGACTGGGGGGGGGGAGGGGGGTTGTTGGACCCCCTCCCCTCATGAAAGCTGGGGGGTGGGGGAGGGGAAAGGAGGGAGGGTGAAGGGCTCCTATTTTTTCTAGGGTCACCCCTTTCCCTTTGGGGTTTTACTATATTTTGATGGGGTGGGGTCCCACTCTCTGTCATCCCCCCCCTGCTTTCACAGAGCATCCAACCCCCCCCACACACCAATTGGGGGGGAGGGGGGGAAAGGGATGGGGTGCTGCCCCTCCCCCTGCCCCACTCCGCGCCCCAAAATTAAACTGATGCCCAGCAGCCCCCCCGCCCCTTCTCTTCGGGGGGGACCCCCTCTACCCTCCCCCACCCCTTCGTTTGGAGGAGCCCCCCCAGCATACTGAGGGGGGGGGAGAGGTGGGCTGCGCCGGTTTGGGGGAGGGTGCTGTGTCCTTTGAGGGGCGTTTTAAGGGGGATTTTCTGTCCTTTAAGGAACTCTTTGGGGTCTCTCCGCGGTCTCTGGGGAGCGGGCGTGCGTGAGAAGCGTTTGAAGGGTCTGGAAATGATGCGAGGGACGAAATAAAAGCGGGGAGGGCGCAGCCGCGGGCATGGGCTGAGTTGTGGAGAGCCATTTACTGGGGGGTGAAGTTGATTAAGGGACTTTTTGCGCGAGTGAGGGTTGGGGGCGCCTCAGCGGTCCTCATCTGTGCGCCTGGGTTCCGTTTTGGGGATAAAAGCGCCGTTTTTGGAAAGCGAAGGCCAACTTCAGGGGCGCGGGGCCTACTAGGCCGCGCGGGCGCCCAGCCGTTGCCATGGCAGCGAGTCGCTGGATGATGACGCAAGCGACAGCCAATCAGCGGCCGAGGTGTCGCGTGTTATGCGACGCGACCAAGCGCGCCGGGCGTCGTCTCCATGGCGACAGCTGAGGGCGGGGCTAAGGCCCGTCGGGCGCTTCCCATTGGCCCGCGCTCGTCGGGGCCGTTTCCCGCCCCTCCTCTGCTGTGAGGGGAGCCGCGCATGCGCAGAGCGGCGGCGCGCGGCATGGAGCTGCGCGGGGGGGCGGCGGGCGCGAGGACAGGTGAGGGAAAAAAAGGCGATTTTTGAGGGAAAAAGTGAGGAATTGAGCGGAGCTGAGGTAAAAGGGGGGGGAAGGGCGGCGGTGAGGGGAAACGGGGGCTTGGGGGGAATCCTGGGGGGGGCTGTGGTAAAAGTGGGGCCTGAGGTGGGGGGGGGGGGGGGGGGGGGGGGTGGGGGG